TTTTTTTTTTTTTTTTTTTTTTTTTTTTTGTTCTTAAAATCATGTAAAATCGCATTACTTCAAACAAAAATATCTTTAAATTATACGAAATAAGAATCATAATGGAAAATTATCAAATAAATCATTCCAAATGACTCTTGTTTCTTTGTATAAGGACAAATGATACGAACAAAAAAAAAAGGAAGCCTGGATTGATAATTATGTTTTCGACATATTTTGGTTGTAAATGATATCGATGCAAGTGTTGAATTTCTAACATATAAGGAAATTATAAAACTTTCCATGATGTTCAACATTCTACCATTTTGCCGTCACCCTTATAAATCTATAGAACTTTTTATCACTTTTTATTGTGAAACCTTGAATGAAATATTAAAATTTAACGCGGTTAGAATTATTCATATTACTTATCAAAACATGGTTTTTTTTTTTTTTTTGGTTTTTTTTTTTTTTGTTATTTTCATGATTTTTTTTTAAGTATGTTTGTATAACCTGTCCTTAAATCAGCTAGAAATGAGTAAAAAAAAATTCAAAACTAATCGTAATTTTGTTTTATTTCTCTTTACTTTCAAAATTGTTTTTCATTTCTATCTTTCCTTGGTAAACATATAAGATACTGCATTTTCATATATGCTTGTACATAGAATATTTCATTTAGATACATTTCACAAGTGGTCGAGAAAGGAACAGCAATGCTTCGTTTTTCGAGAACTTTAATTACAGTAGATGACGAAGTTTAAAAGTCAAAATACTTAAGAAAGCAACCTTTCCATTGTAAAGAAAGTCTTTACTCACAGTCATATAAATGTTAACACATATATATGACGAATATACTTCCAGGTTCATATCATGAATATCTATTTACAATATTTATCAACGTTAACTTCCCTTTCAAACACAAACAAATAATGCCATTTCCTACGTTTAACTGCCAGACCATAATGTTACTGATATTTAAATATACAATAATATTTAAGGTTAAACAGAATTTATTATTAATATTAAGTAGAATACTATCATTGATATCATGAACATTTTTGAGTTTAAGCTTAGCTAAGTTTTTAAGTTAAATCTTAGCAATGACATATTAAAATAACGAACAGCAATCAAGCTCAAAAGTCCATTGAAACAATACATATTGGGAGCAGAGCAAACACGAAGCTCTAAAAAACATCAAAGGTAAGATCAAGTGCCATGAAGGAGTAAGCATCCCTTGTCGACCGGTCATACTTTTAACTTTGATATTCAATATTACAAGTTCCTGGTATCTATCATTGCAATACATCCCTAAAACAAAGAAGAGAGATTCTTAGATCAATTACCGGGCTCCCCCCCCCCCCCAATTATGACATTTAGCTTGGAAGAGGCAGGAACAGGGATTTCCTCCAACTACATGTTTTTCTAAAGATAGGTTAAGTATATTAGTGGTATCTCGGTTCGACCATCTGTCTGTCACATTATCTTCTTCCCAAATCTCCCCCTTACATTTTGAGCAGTAGCTAATTCATCTTCTGGGATGTGATTGGTGGTGTCCTGTAGATTTGCAATAGCGTTTGTGAATATTCATTTTCATCATGATGGTCAATTGGAGGTCGAAGAACTACCTTTTTCTACAAAAAACCTCCATCCCAAAACGCCCTTTAACGCTTTTGGAACGCTCATCCTTTGGAATTTGATTGGTGGTATCCTGTAGATATGCAATAAGGTTTTGGGATTTTCATTTTTATTTAAAAGGCCAATTGGGATCCGACAAACCACATTTTTGATTCAAAACATTGGGGCCAACAAACGACTTTTTTAACCAAAAAAAATATACAGTCTTGATAGAACTCCTCTTACCTTTTATGCAGTAGCCATGTCGTATTTTTTAATATGTCAAATTGATGGTGTTAAATTCTTAGATGTGCAAAAAGGTTTTTTTGTTCTTGTTTTTCATTTTTTTTTTTTTTTGCAGGGATGATTATTATTATTAAAGACCGAAAAACACGTTTCTCTATAAACACGTTTCTCCATGTTCCAGGACTTTCTCTCACATTGTAAGCAGTAGCCAAAACTATTATTTTGGAATATGGTTGCTGGTGTCTTGTAGAATAGGATTTTTGGAATTTTCTTTTTTATCTGGGAGACCAATTATGAAGCGCAACATTTTTCTTCGCCTTTTTCATTATTTCTTTCACAGAAATCCTCTTTCCGAAACTCCTTTTAAACAGATGTTTCATTAAATTCTGGATTCTCAGACTGGTAGTGAATTTATACGAAATATATCAAAATAGACCCTTTGGGCGCCTGCTTACCTGAGCATTCTATGCTCAGATTGATATACAATGTACATATGTTTGTAAATTATAAAATATCCATTTTCGCTAGGCATCCAGGTACGAAGAAGAGTATATCTAGAGGCTAACAGATACGCGCGGGTATAGATGTCTAATGAGAGCATCAACTTCAGTATTGTTTCTTTTGATTTCCTTTCGAAAATTATGACTGAATCCATCCAACTAAATACGTATTGCAATAAACGATAAAGAGGAAGAACTCTGTAAAGCAATAATAATATAAATTCGCAAGTCTTCGGTTGCAGTTACTTCCCGTAGGTTGTATCTGTACATAAAGCACAACTCTGCATGTATCGATTTTAAAGCAGAAATCAGCGTTTAATTAATGAAACAAATAACACAAAATAATTTCAATTTTTTTTTTTTATTTTTTACTGAATCTTTTGCAATTTTTTAGTTAACACACCATTCGCTATGATTAACAAAACTACATATACATATCAAAAAGTATACCTGAACACCCTTTCCATCTCTATGCAAAATCTACATAAGACACAATGTATGATATATAAATATACTGAAATTCACACATTTTATCTGAGTATAGTCGTTAGGGATTTGGTTTTAACCAATGTAGTGAAAGTCTGGGCCACTCTGAATGACATTCAAGTTTATACCTTTGTCATTAGCAGGGCATAGAAATAAAATCTAAATGTATATGGATTTATTTTACTAGTCATTTCTAATAAGAATACATACATATATTTGTTTTAAAGGAAAAAAATACTTACAAGTAATTTATGACTAACGAGATTCAACTGTCTCATCCAATCTTTTTTTTAGGGGGTGGGGGTGCATTGAATTTTGCTTTTTTTATCCTTGTAATGATATCAAAATTTTGTAACAAAGGTTATTATAAAATAAATGAGAAAATTTAAGGTTCAGAGGAACAATGTAATCACGCTTTCAACCTGATTAAAATCAGATCCTTTGATCCGCTCACATAGACCGCTACGTAGCGATCTATGTGAGCGGATCAAAGGACCTTATTTTATCAGATTGGTGTTTTTTGTTTTTTGTTTTGTTTTGTTTTTTTTACAAAAGTTGCATACCTAATTAAGTACATGCATATTCATTAATTAAATTTTTCAGGGGAAAATGCTTTCGTCTTATCATATAACAGTTTAGTATTCATGTCTCTTGTGGAAAACTTTCATCTTGTGGAAATCATGCTGGTTTCTGTTTAAAAATATTTAAGAGCAATTTCATGCATATAATAATATACATTGAAATATCTTTAACAAAATCTCAGGAATGCGTTTATTATACATGAATATATAAAATAAAGGTAACTTTTTTTTTCTTCTGAAGCAAGGCAAGTGCTTAAACAATGATAAAAAAGAAAACTGTATTAACATTGTACATTTGTTTTGTTTTATCAATTTAAAAAAAAATTATTAGTTTGAAATCGTGTGAAAAATGACAATACAATTTTTTATAAATACAATATAACCAAACCATAAAGTTTTAAATCAAAACGATTAATATATCAGATCTTACTTGATTAACAATTCAAAAATTAAAACAACACTTGACTATAAAAAAAAATCCGATTGTACATAAGAAACAAATTCAAAAAATCATTTTATTTTTATATTTTTAAAAATAATAAACCAAAAAATAAACAAAATTGAGCGGTTTTGAGGAATACTGAACAGTATATGTGTAACATAATTAAATTAATGTTTCAAGATGTTCACATTCAAAGAAATTAAAAATGATTGCATTGCATAAAAATGCTTTTTCATACACCATTAGACCTTAACAGGAATATATCCTCCAAAAAACTCAGATCATAAAATAAAATTTTAAAAATATCATTAAAAAATATTGGAACAGACAACAATAATTGAGGTTATATAAATCGTGAATAAAGATAAAATTTATATATGAGGCAAAATGGATGCATTTCTGAAAGAATTCCGAATTATACAAAAACATTTCGAACTTTTTTTAAAACTTTAATTAATTTTAAAACATTTGTATTAACATTATACCTTTCTACCAAAATTTAGCCTTAATTATATGTTAAAACTAGAAATCTGACCAGTCAGCAAGGGCCCCGCTGAGGGGTAGATATATAAGGGTGCAGATTACGGGATGAGAATTTTACTTGATTACAAAAATTTAAAAATATATAAAGAAGAATAAGTAATAGCAACTGCTTAATATCCAACAACCTGTAAATAGCATCCTTGTATTTACATAAGGCAGTAAAACATCATATCTATAATGACTCAATTAAATGTATATTTAAAGAAGAATGAAGCATTTGTTTTCTGAAATGCCAGTCTTCAGTGAATGCAAATATCACCCAGGCTTAACCTTAACTTCAAAACAAACATCAGTTGCAGACAAAGGTGTTAATTAATCTTGAAGTGACAGAAACTCAACCCTCTAAAATTTTCTGCGACCATTAAGATAATTAATCCCAGGGGATTAATTATACTGCTCTCTCAACCTTTTCTTCTAAATTTACAACAAGAACTTTTTCAGCAATGATAGAATGAGGTTATTATCCGATTACCTCTTAAAATAAATAGTATTCTTGAATTTACATAAGGCAGAAAAAAGAAAGAAAAAAAGAAAAAAAAAGAAAATAATTATAAAAAAGATATCTTTATCTATATCTTGTTTTTAGAATTCAACAAAATCATAAATAACTCATTGTGTATTTTACCAAAATAAAGTATGAACATTATTTAAATCCACATATCAGAGAATGTAAACATCATTCAGAATTGATCTTAACTTCAAAACAAACTTCATTTGCAGACAGAGGTGTTAATTAATCTCAATGTGACAGATAAAGATAAATGCTTTGGATTTTCTTCAAGAGAAAAGTTAATTAATCCCAAGAGACTCATTGCAGCCTTTCATAGTTTACAATAGGAACATTCTCAGCAGTTATCTCTCTTTGCCGATTCACTCTTATATAAAGTTAAGGAATCTACCCCACCACCCCAGCTCCAAACCAGATGACATAGAGAACCAAACTTAGCATCAAAATATGTCTAATGCCTATTCAACAAACATACCAAATTTGAACTTAATTGGTCAACCCTAAAAAAAAGTTATTAGAAAAAAAACAGAAAATTTGTGGACGGAAGAATGACAGACGGACAGACAGACAGACAGAGTGATTACTATAGGGCACCCGCAAATCCTTGCGGGGCCCTAATAAAAAAAATCTTTTTTCGTCTTTTTAAAAAAAGACGAATTTTTCAGAGCTTGAATATCATTATGTATTTTTTTAAGAGCGCAATATTTTCACATATTCTAGCTAGAAATGATGTCACAGAATGTATGTTGTCAATGAAAACACAATATTGGTATTCCATTATCACAAGTTTTGGGTGAAACTTTGCGTATTTTAAAACAACACAAGCACAAGAGCATTAGATGTAGTACTTGCAACAAATATATTTATGTAGGCAAAGAAACTTTTAACTTCAATATCTTTCCTATTGATATCATAAAAATTTTCGAATTTTTTATAACTTTTTACCTTTTAAATTTTTACACAACACCATCAGTAGATCCGCGCCCAAGTCTTTAATGATCTTCTTTCTTACACCTTTTTCAGTCTTAACCTTACAATATCCGTAGATCCGCGCCTCGTGTTTATCTTTTCAACAGGAATTTCCACCTCATCGTCATTAGCGGCCTTTATTAGCTGGAACTTGGTTCTGTGTGTGCTATGTTCAAAACAGCCGAAGATGAATCGGCCTGGACCGTGAGGGGTTTTACCGAGGAGGAAGTTGGCGAAAATCTGCTCGTAGCTGGCTAGATTTAGCGGGTACCTTCCGAACTGAGATAGAAAACAATTATAAATGTAATATTTTGCATTGAAACATGCCCCCCCCCCCCAAAAAAAAAGGAGGAACATATTTGGTATTCTTATATCTGTATATGCAACGTTGCTCAAAAATTACAATTAAGCATTAAATGAAAAAAGGTGATGATAACAAACAGTGATCAAACTCTTCTAGTAAACAAAACGAATCGTGAACAGGGCAAAAACGGGGACCCCTGAAACCCTAGAGATAGTTCCCTAGGTGGAGTATGCATTCCCTTGGTGACCGGTCACAACCACCGTGAGCCCTATATATTGATCTGGTAACGGAGTATTCCGTACTAAGAAGTCAAAACGGTATAAAAGACAATGGCCTACTTATTGGTGGAAAATGTAGTCAAAATTCAACCCAAGGATAGGTTGTATTTGCAAACAGGATCATCATAGAAATCTGTGAAATGCTGAGTTTAAACGAGAAAGGTGAAAACAATGTAACATCAACCTATTTGTCAGTAGCCTGCCTCATATTAAACATGAATCGTACTCAGAACATATTCTTGAAAATCGAATTCGTTGAGAGACATAAACACCATATGTAGGTGATTGTGGTATAAGCAGGTATATTACTAGATAATTAGGGAAAGTTGTCGATGAAAAAGCTGAAATCATCTCCTTTGTCATAAAGTTTCGTTTCACACATTGCTGCTTGAATATACGCATTTTCAAACTTTGTCACTTCCTAAATACATAATCTTTTTTCATCAAAATTATGACTGATCGTAAAATTAATATCCTCGATTTGTAACTGGGGATATTAAACAAGCTTTTCTCTATTTTCTCTTCATATTTAACGTGTGTAAAGAGCACGACATGGTGCCCAATACAAAATGGAAAATTCTGGCAGACCAGAGAAAAATCGAACACCCCCTACCCCATCTCCAAACTCTAGACAGGTTGTTTCAACAATGAGTTGTCTCGTCTTACTGAAAACGAACTTACCTACCTGCCACATTTCAAATTCCCATTATACTAGTATAACAGTTAGAGTAGTGAGACTTACGTCTGTCATGAGTTCGTATGCCTTCTTGGCGACCACATTCGCTTCTGCGTCTTCCAGTTGAACAAAATTTGAGTAAAAGTCTGTTAGGTCCTCTTCTTTAATAAGCCCGTCCTCTGGAAAGTGAAATTAGGTTTTGCACATGGTCATTTTCGTTTGTTTGAATAATCATTACAAGCATATATTGGAAAAATCTTTCATTTTTTCTACTAAAAAGGAATTTGTAAATTACCCCTCCCCAAGTTATATATTTCTGATCTTCCTTTTGATAACTTGTAATCTCTCTTTGTTGGACTTGCAATCTCCCATTTTCAAACACTGTATGCGTTGCACAACGTTCCCACCGAGTAGGCTTTAAATACAGATTCTCAGTATCATATATACTTAAGATTTTCCTGAAACTCCCCGAGTTAGACTAACAATTTCTTATTTATACTCTCCAGGGACTAGAAATATGACCGCGTATGATCTCACGGTTTATGATCTTCCTAAACTTACAATCTCCTTTACTGTAAACTTACGATCTCCAGAGTTTAGACTTACGATTTCTTTGGCTCTTTCTGATGATAATCTATGTATTGTCCAATAACATTAACAATCTTCATACAATAATCCCTACAATAACGATCTCCCAAATTCAAACTTTTTATTGCAAACTTAATCTCCCTTTGGTACTTTCATGATCCCTCAAAATTAGACGTACGATCTCTTACATGTTCCCGATTTTTGACTTACGATCTCCCCTTTTAATAATTACAATACCTCAGCATAGAGTTAAAACCTCTTACGATATCCCGAGTTTAGTCTTATGATCTCTTTATTTCTCACTCACGATCTACCTTTTATCTCCCGAGAGTAGACTTATAATCCCTTATGAGCTCCCTTAGACTAACAATCTCTTATGATCTTCCTGTTTTAAGATCTCTATATTTGCACTTACGATCTCCCGAGATTAGACTTACGATCTCTGTCCTTAATCCTGAAAAGTGACCTGGGTAGAAGTCTCAGCCACACCGGAAAGTTCTGCATCCCCATACTACCGTGTATCAGCTTGGCCCACAGCTTATACCAGTCATCTAACGTCACCTTCTCTATAGTCAAAATGAAAGAAATAATTCATACATGGCAGAAGTCTCTAATATAATCAAACATGTTACATGTAATAAATTGTCATATTCTGAAAAAGAGCAGACAAAGATTTTTTTTCATCCAAGGTCTTTATCGCCTCAACATGCCTGGTCCAATATTATATACATGTTAATTATTATCACACTGTGCACATGTACATATAGAAATCGGTATTATTTATATTTCCGTATTAAGAAATAGTCCTCAGACAGAGTAAATCATAGATCAATGTTTAAACAAGACGTAAATATACTCATGATACTAGGACATGTATATACTTGAGTAAAGTGTATAATTGTTGAACAGTACAACATGTGAGAAAAGCAACGAAAGGGAATATACCCACGAAGTTTGATGCCAAACGTACTGGACGACATTTTTTTCTTATCACAGAAAAATATATTCCCCTACCCATTGCATGGAAGGGATTTTTTGTGTTAAGAAAAATAATACATGATGTCAAGTGTAAATGGTTTGTGTAGCGGAAACTGTGATCAGATCATACATTTATACTATTCATTACAGACGTACTGTGTGCCGTTTTCTCCATAAGAATCTCGAAGAAAGCTTCATGTACGCCATATATCTCGTGATAAGCCGGGGAGTTTGTCTTCCATCCCGTATAATCCACTATCCTCTGCAATACAAGAGAAAGTCAAGCGTTAAAAATAAGCCATGCGTAACGGTAATCTATCTTTATTACTAAAATAAAGAATATATTATAATCGCAGATCTAAATTGTAAGGAATTTTATCGCGTGTCCTCTGTTTACCCTCTTTTTCTCATAAATGTTGACTTTTTGCCTCCCGGCAAGTTATAAAGTGAGTAATTTATGAATTTGACGTATGTGTTGTGAAATTTCAATTATAAATAAACAGAGGTATTACTGCGGAGAAATCAAATCTCCCTTTTTGATATTCTGAACCATGACATGCCTTTATCATGCTTATTTCATACGCTGATCTGGCGGGGAATCAGAAGGGTCCGGTCCCCCTTCAGTTTTCAATTTTGTAAGGTAAGGAAAAGATGACCGTGGACCCCCCTTAGAAAATACGCAACCTCCCTAGAAAACATGAATCCCTGGAGAAATGGTAACTGGAAAGCGATCCCCCACCCCACCCCATCCCCACACACGAAATAGGTTTTTCGGATTTGCACAAGTTGTTTACTTTTTTCGTTTCTTTTTGCTTGTCGAGAAAATAAAAAATTCTGAGATTGATTTTTTAGTAGGTATTGACACCCACCCCCTGGAAAAAATGGATCCATGCATGTATTCTTTGGAGATTTACAAACTAAATGAAGTGGATATTTAATCTGAAGAAACAATTTTTGAACACATTGTTTGAAATAATTATCTTTTCATATTAATTACTAATGTGATTTTAATTAATCAGTTCTACTGTTAATTCACTTACTTTCATGAACCCATCAAGATCATCAAATTCTATAAACTTGTCACCATTGGAGTCTGTAAAATATCATTGCAGTTATAAAAAAAGCGCAAACAAGTCAGAATCATATGCTCATATCTTATGTTTCTTAATTTCTAGAATATCAATAAAAGAAAGTTTTAAGTTAAATAACGATAAAAGAAAAAGAAGTGCCCCAACGCATCCCCCCACCTCACCCCCCCCCCCCCAAACACATACACACCTATAAAAGGTGATTTAACCAAAAGAATTAATGGGTTCTATACATGTGTAGACTTAAGCAAATAAAAATATCAATATAATTCTCTTATAATATTACATTTTACATCTCTCTCTCTCTCTCTCTCTCTGTGTTTTCTTGGGGGGATTTTTTTTTAAATTAAATTCTGGATTGCTTTTAAGAAAGTTGTTAATGCCTCAAACAAATTCTGAACAGCAGTTCGTCGTCGTTAATATTTCTAAGGAATATCCATTGGCAGAAAAGATTGTTAATTACTGAAAGCCATTATCACTCAACATCTAACAAAATTTGCTCAAGTTTTTTTCCAAATCTTAAAATCAATCATGAATGGCGAATTTGCAACAGTGGAAAAAAAGCAATGAGCGATTAATATAAACGTTGACGTCATTTTGTGCCGTTTTATGCAGGTGTTCAAAGCTTGTGATAACAGTGCAGCAATCTGCAAAGCAAATATGACTTGTTTTGTAATCTCACAATAAGTCAAGGACGCAGACCGTACATGTACAAATGACCTCTTCTAATATCTGGAATGAAATTAATAAACTCTTTGTGATTGCCGACTGGATGAGAAAAGTGGTTTATGTTCTAAACTTTGACAATGCTATATAAAGTTTATTCAAACACTCCTCCGATTTCACCTAAAATCACACCCTCGACCACGCGTACCCCACCCCACCACCAATGAAAGAGAATTTAAAAATAACTTTGATTTATTTTCCCATTCAATATCATGGTTGTAACATTTTCAAAAAGAAAACGTTCAAATATATAATAAAACATTATTAAATTATGTTTCATGTTTCTATTGTCATTTATTTTTTTTTTCTACGTATACATATATTTATTTCTGGATCCACCACTCTGTTCAAGATTTGCGTGCCTGTCAATACTAATAAATCAACTACCAACAAATATTTGTCTCTTTTACTTCGTTTGTTTATACTTGCACATACTTTTTAGGGTAATATGGATATAATTCTTAGAAGCAAGATACATACGTATACTCCCTAAATTTTAATATTTTTTTTATTTGTTGCATTGTATATTGTAATGAAAACTTACATTATCAATTTAGATCTAGTATTCAACATGTTCTATAAGTAAGTTTGTTAGATCAATTAATTGTGCATCATATAATTTCCCGCTATGTTATGTTTGAACTTCATTTATATGACTAACTTACCGAAAAAGTTGAAGAAATACTCCAGTTTTTCTTTCTGAAATGGTGACAGTAAAGCCATCTTTTCTACAATAGATTATATAAGTACACTCACACCGGATGAAGATTATTTTCAAGGCCAAAACGTTCTAGATAGTATTTTCAACAACCTGCGTAGTTATGATGTTGTGGGTTTTTTTTTTTAATTTTTTTTTTCTACAGAGCGTTGTCATATTTTAATGCATGTTATAGATGTAGGTGTTAATTCTTTTGAGGGTCCATATTTGACTACAGTTAATAAACAGTTGATACCTGAAAGAAAGAAAAGAAATAGTCAAACAGGGGCGGATCCAGAAGTTTTTTTTAACACGAATTTTATTATTTTCATAGATAGAAGAGTGGAAGAGACGTTTATGAAAGGTATTAAAATTCTCATCGTTTTTTTTTTTTCGAATTCTTAGAAGAACTAATGAAATATCTATTGAATTTTTCAATGGAAATTATTGTATCAAGTATAGCTGGGTTTTATAACTATTAAAACGTGAAAAAGAAATATTCAGCAAGATCAAGATATCGTCTATTATCAGGGATTGAAAAGGATAGAAAATGGGTAGTGATTATTCAAGCCTAGAGGACTTTGGTTGTATCTTAGTCAAAATATTCAGAGAGAGAGAGAGAGAGGAGGGAGAGAGAGATTTGATGGGGATGGAGATATGATGGATTTAATCATCAATCTCCTAAAGAATTGATAAATTTTCTTTCTTTACGCCTCTTATAATACATCTATTGTCAATATCAAATCGGATGTTCATGTATATATAAGTTATAATAAGTACATATACATTTAAATTCATAATGAGGTCAAACTCCATTTTGCAATTAAAGTCAACTGAATTTACATGTATAGCATTAAAAGGATACATATGTGGTCAAGTTCCAAGGCTGCGGTTGTTTGAAATATCTGAAGCGTGCAAAACTGACTATAAATAATTTACGAGTGCAGAGAAGATGCACGTGTTTGTACGCATTTTTAGCAGGTTCACTATGTACAGTTTGTAAAATTCTAATTGTTATGCATTATGGGTGCAAAATTTTATGACATTGAGTTCTTAATAAACAAAAAGGGCATTGGGGGGTATTCATTCTATTATTTTAGAGATCTTCTCTGATAAATTGTCATTGTAAAAGGGGGGGGGGGGGGTTAGATGTGACTTAGAGGTCTTCTGATTTTCTTCATTGTATTCTTTCAATATCAATCAAATCTTTTACTCATCGAATTTTGCTAAGTGTATGGATTTTGGATAATGAATAATCGTTTAGAACTGCTCTCATGTACATCAGGCAATTCGATCAGAGTTTGGAACTAATTTTTACAGTGATCAAAAACTTGTTTACTCTAGCTGGTCGACTCCATTAATCTACCGGACAACATTATACGCATGGTCTGAAATCTAGGGCATTTTTGATTGTCCGTCAAGATATGACCTTTAAGAAGTAAACAAGTTTATGTGGTCAGCAGGGGTTACTTAAAAGTATGACTTTTGTTCCGAAACTTAGGGAATATACATAGATAAACTACACGTATAGTAGAGAATATTTACCTAAAGAAGAGTCATTTGAGTCTTTTTTTTAATTGTTGGTTAAAATAAGGAACCTGGATTTCTTTACCTTCTTGGATCCGCTCCAGATTAGTTAAGTGAATTTTATCTGTGTATTTATGTTAGAGAGATCAAGGTCTTATGCTTTAGTTTTATTCATCTTTATTCATCCTTGATTTGTCAGAAGCTGTTATATCATGTATATCCTTTTTAAAAATCATGTTACAATAATTATTATGACACTATAACGAAAAATAGTTTAATCATACAGATCATGTTTTCTCAATTCTTTTCTCAACTTTATCCTTAATTTATCTTAAAGTTTAAGCTCATTTAGTTCTTTATCAAAATAATTCCAATATCAAAAAGCCAATATTAGATAACCATGCTATAGAGCATTGAAATATATTCGCAACTTATTCGTTATTATCAGATTATCGTGTTTATATCTACTGCAAAGATATGCAATTATATGTTGTGTTAATAAACTCTGGTCAACGGTCTTCATCCATTTTGATGACCAAAACAAATATAAAACATTTGTGTTCTTTAGTGTGTAGTGTTATGCTAAGCTGCGAAGTCAATGTGCGCTGAGGCTCAATATTTATTGTTAGGTTTGCACGACAGCGCCGCATGTAAAGCGAAAGACAATATAGAATATAAAAACACAGGGATGAAAATTTGTTAAATTACATCACTGCAGTAACAGATTATATATGATTAAGCAATGCAAAATTAATAAATGATATAGAACATAAATTTGCGAGTTAGAAATTTAAAGTAAAACTTACCGAAAATTTTCCTTGGTGCGAAGCTTTATCGCAGAATCAAAACATCCAGTCAAGTGAAAATATTGGCCGGACTGGAGAAAGGTAGGTCAGTCACGTGTCATTAATAAAGGAGTGGATCTAAGAGTTTCACTGTCCACTAACGGAGAAACGGGGAATATATAATTCTTTGTCTTTTTATTTCCGTCTACCCTCCTGTCTCTTCGTCTGTCACTTTGTTTTCAATAATTTTTAACTTTAACTTTGAAGTACTTCGTTCTTTTTATAAAAAATAGTTTTGCTGCTTTAATTAATTGTTTATTTTAACACAACGAAGCAGAAAAGACTGCAGATCAAGTGAGAGTTTCAAGAGGTATTTATATATATATATATATATATCTTTCTAATTAGCAGTTCCTGTTATGGCTTACTACCCCTTGTTGCTGTACAAACGGAGTCAGTGAGAAAACGCAGTGGAAGGCGATATCTCCATGTGCAAGCGCTGATCTAGGTGGAGATTTTGTGGTCCGGAACCCCCCCCCCCCCCGACTTTGCTGTGTTATTTAATGTATAAAGTAATGTTACAAAAAATGACCTTTGAACCCCCACCTCCCAAGAAAAGCATAGGAGTTTGTCTTTCGGATTGTTAAATGTAAAATAAATTAATAAAATTTTGAATCTACTTTAAATACACTTAAAAGTTGTTAAAATAAAGATTCTGACACTTTTAGCGAAGAGAAACCACGTTTTAAAAAGACGTACCACACCTGTAGAGTTTACGTTTCTTAATTCCATTTCAGACTCTTACATTACATTAAAAAAAATTACTTTTTTCCTGAAGATTTCAAAACTTTCAAACATTCATTGATAACGGATTAAGAAATATTTTAAATACTTGCTTTCTTCACGAGTGAATTTTTTCAAATAATTTTGAAATTGAAAGTGGCAAAATGTTAATTTCAATCCTATCAATAATATATATCAATCATATTGCAACAACATTTAAGAAATTATCTACTTATCTCAGTGTGATGTCTATATCTCATCAAAATTATATTCGGAATTATATTCTGAGTCTCAAAGCAAATTTATCAAAATAAAATTTACGCTTATACCAATTATTAACTTGTTATTTCACTATAGCAGGGACGCGCTCACTTGTCGAAGCTACTTAAGAATATTTAACTAAACATCTGTCATTTTATCAATGAGGTTACGGATTGTTGTATAAATTGTTATGTTATATGTACTCAAACTTTCAAAACTACAAATGTCACTCAGATTTCTCGGTGTCAGTTCGGTGGCCAAACTCCATTAGTGATATGGTTAAAAATGGCACTAACAGCGTCACTTATTCAGGCCCGTAGAAGGGGGGGGGGTGACAGGGAGGCACCCTCCCCACTTTTTTCTGAGTACAGCTATTATAGTATTTTGTAAAAGTAAACTTACATTTAGATGCTGATTGTCCCCTCCACTTTTTGCTGCTGTAGGGTCAAGGACTGGCAAAATTCAGGATTGGGGGGGGGGGGGGTTGTACCAAAAAGTAAAAGAAAGGTCCAGGATGGCCCACTGTTATTTTTTCCTTTTCCTGTTTGATACGGATTCAACATGCCATTATTAGCTGCAAACAACGCTGACATACATGTTATTGTAGACCAAATATGTGTGTAGCATTCGATGTACATAATATACTACATTATACTTAACTTATTAGACTTTATGCTTGAACAATTTTACATTTCACAATCATTAATATGAAATTAATATATCGATCTAACTTTCCTTTCAATCCGCAAACAAACCTCAGCATCCATCGGATAAAATACTGCAGGACAAACTTTTATTCAAACAGAGATGTTAGAGTTACCTTTCCTTTATAGGATTAAAGCTTACCTCTCTACGTCTCTCTCTCTCTCTCTCTCTCCGCGTGTTATTTAAAACCAGCATTCATTTATACATTATGGAAAAGGTACATGTATATGTGTATACCGGTAAATACATTACTGCACTCAAGAATCAAGCCTATAGAGACTGTTATAAATATAAGTTAACTTGAAAAAGTTTGACACGTATAACCATACTTTAACAAAGAACGTGCTTACATGCATAAAATAACTTGGTTGATTTGACTAAAATTTTATCAAGGAACAATTAGAGTGGACACAGGAGTGATAGTGCTAGCAATAAAGTTCGTACATCGGAAAAAAATATTTTACAACTGTTAGATGTTGAATGTAAGTTTTTATTTGGCAATAGAATGATAAGAAGTATCACATATAAGGAATTATTTAAATAAAATTCCTCAGCAATCCCCCATAAAACAAATTTTTAAGTAACTCAAAAACAGGCTTAAGGGAGTGAAATTATTTCCATTTGTTAATTTTATTGCAAAATCTTTTATAGCAAGGTCTGTTCAAGAAATGAAATGTGCATGAAGATGACGAACACTACTGAAGCTCCAAATTCCACATTTAATATTACAAACTGAGAGCAAACATGGACCACTGGACAACATCAGAGATGAGATCAGGAACGTGTAATGGAGGAAAAAGCATCACCTGTCGACCAGCCACATCCACATTGAGATCATTTGTTTTTAATCTGATAAACAATTAGGTAATCTGTTGCTATATTAATCTGAAAAGAATGGATTAAAAATTTAGATTAAAAACGTCAGTCAAAATTTGACCCAACGATAGATTGTATTTGCAAACAAGTTCATTATACCGACCATTGCGAATGTTTACTTATACAAAACTGTTGATACC